CCCTGTAAGTCCATCACTAGCCCATCACGACCCGTCCAGTCTTTCAGCCATATCACAACCTATCAAATCAGCTATGACAAAAGCATTCTTTTGTCGTAGTTCACCTTGTTACTTATGACTGGACGTGTGAAAGGACTCGTGATGGACTTGAACTCAACTCAAGCCTAACAGTAGTTGACTATCCGCCCCGAGCTGAAGTGCACCCCCAATCGGCAAAAAAAAAAGACAAGTGGTTACAAGCGGGTTCTTGCACGCCTTCTGCGTGTACGCAAAGACCATACATGCCGGAGTAAATTAGTTAAGCATACTCGGCGTGTTCCATGTCATATGTGCATATACGTGTGCGCTTATGCGGTGAGTATAAAATTACGCCCTTTTTTGTTCTGCTCTGAGGGGATTGTTTGCGGCAGCAGTAACTGAAGAAGATAGAGAGTTACGGCTCTATCTCCAAGAGGTTCTGTCATCATCACAGTATCGTGCCTTTAAAGAGCCGGGTTTTGATATTTGAAAACGCTTATTTCCCCTGTAGTGTGAAACTCCTTTTTACTGTCTCTTTCTCCCTGGATAGATTGAAGCAGAGATTAGGCTGGCGCTGAGGAAGTTTGCAAAAAGCATTGAGGTCTTGAAGGGACAACTCTTAAAGGCGTCAGGCAATTACCATCTGTATCCTCGCTTTGACTTTCCTAACTTCATTGGGCTTGTCTGAAACTATTACACGACCATTGACTGACTTGGTGCATATATGGAATTCGAAAACTAGGATTTGAACTGTCCGTATTTCACCATTTGCCAGCGGACAGTTTTATTTCTAAGAGCGATGAACTTTGATAGGCTAACCTTCAATATGGCTTTCCTTAAAATGTCAAGGACAGTAAACTCCGGCTAAGTCGGCACTCTCGGCACTCAAGAAATTACAACGACTTACGCGAATGCCGGCTTGTGTTGTTATTCGTCATTTTGCCAACTAACTCGCACACATGTGTTGCCTATGTACATTATGATTCCTTGCACTAATTCAATGGCTTTGATTTACCCTGGTTTATTTCTACCTCCATGGTTGATCCCAGCAAATTCGTTCTCCATTATTATAATGCAAATTCAATAACTGATCATGTGCCCCCTAAGGAGGAAGCAAGGACGGCAAGCCACTTGCATATCACATCACGACTTGACAGTGCAGAACGTATGTACGTGATACAGTTACGGTACAGAAAACATACACTCATCCACACACAGCATTGGTTAAGTTCATTCCATATAGTCTGGATACCAGACCCGATGATTCTGACTACCTGACGAATCATCATCAAGGGTCGTCCGGGAATCTTTGGGCAGGGAACCAGACTACATTCAATAAGGCGACCCCCAAAATGGACAGAGCACATGTGTGTGGCATTAGAGGGGTTACTGGTATTGATGTACTCATGCTGGCCGCGTGCGCACAGGACTTGTCCCTTGACACTTCTTGGCAACCGCGGCGAAGGAAACCAATACCAAAGCATGACTTTTTTAAAATGCCAACTTACACAAAGGAATATTTGTGGTTTTGTGGAAAAAGGACCAATATAAACATGCCGACATAAACAAAATGACGACTTATAAATGCCAACTTAGAAATGAAATTTTCAATGGAAATGCATCACAGATGATCGGAACTTTTGTCAAACGGCCGATTTGGATGATATGACAGGTTATGCGATGCCGACTTAGACGGAGTTTACTGTTTTTCATTTGGAAGGAAAATGCGAAAATTCAATTACATATTGTTCAATTTGGGTGTCCGTCAAATTTATGAAACTTTCTCCCAGGGAGGGGTTGGGTTGTGTTTATACTGCCTTAACATTGTCTAAGCACACAGCGAGAAGTCGACAGGAGGCAAGGCCTCTTGGATAGCCTGACTGCCAAGGATAAACTCCTCAACGAAGCCTTCCGGAAAGACATCACCTACACAGCTCCTGAGAGGTATGGCATGAGCTTCCAAGATTGAAATACCCTCCAGCATCCTACAGAATCCTACAGAAGGTTTTATAGGATCAAGGAATGTAGAATCCAGACTCTGTCACTTATTAATCCTCCCAGATTCCCTTTTCAAAAGATTTTGTTAGATTGAGGAAGGTAGAGCACAGTCACTGTTACTTTGCACAAAACTTGGTGCCTCTTGAAAGATAAAAAACTGAGTGTGCTATTGGTTTCTTACACAAGAGGCAGATTTTGGAGGCAAACAGTTTAGAGAGCACTGCATACCGACATTCTTAAGGCAGGTTTGTGACTTAATAGTTGCTGATGTGCCCTTTGCAGGACCCGGCTATTGGCGCCCAACACAGCTGGCTTTGGTCAAGACTACTACAATGAACCGGATGAAATCCGGAGTCTGTCGATAAATGAAATACAAGACCAACAGCATCAAGTTATTCAGCGTGAGTATTTGAAGCGATTCGCAACACCTGCCACCAAGAGGTTGCCATCTTCCAGGCTGCATCGTGGGAAAATCCCCATTAGCGAAACTCGACAAAGGGTTGTTAGTGTTACAATGTGTGTTTAAGTTTGGATTTGTGTGGTTTTTGAGGGGATGGGGAATATAGTTAAGTTACAATAAATCAATTCTTACAGTTCACTAATACTTTACTCAGATTAAATCAAAATAGCAAAGCAGTCCAAGGAGTAAGGATAACAGATGGTTATAGTTTAGCAATAGAGGTAATGCACGGCAGCTATCTTCCCGTACAATGATATTATTCCGCAGGGATACACGTGAGCAGACCTTTTGTGCATATTCCCCTTAACAAAAGCACTGACCTGGAAGATGGCTGCCGTGCACAACCTCTGTGGTTTTGAAACAAATGTTTTATAACATTGATTTGTCCTTGTCAGTTGGTGCTGTTTGTCTCTTATTTTGATGTTATTGCATTTTGGTTTGATTGTTTTTCCTTGGTCGTCGATGGTTTGTGTTTACAAGCTTCCCAGATACAGTTTAGCGTGTGTGGGATGCACCTCATATAAAATGCTCCATTGCATCTCAGAGACTTCTGAGATTAGCGAATAATACATTCGTTTATTATTTATATAAACCCCTTCAAAGTGAAACTTGTTTTTTTTTTCTCATTAATATTGTGCCAATTCAGAGCAAGATGAAAGCTTGGAAGCATTGGGCACCGTCATAGCACGACAGAAACAGATGGGGCAGACAATAGGCACGGAGCTCGACGAGCACAACGGTAAGATTGGACCACAGACTTCTTTAATTACTTCCTTAACACTTGACAACACTCTCTTGTCACCGCATGGTACCCTGAGATGCTTTGCAAATGGGCTTTCAATAGTTTTGGCCACATGTGGACCGACCCTTGTGAAGCAGGCTGGGTTGTGGACGGGATTACGGTTTGGTTTTGGAACTGGGACAATGTAGCATGCTTAGGGCAGAAACAAGGCTGGGTTTTGTTCTGTTCTAGATGTTATAGACCCTTTGTATAATACACAGGTATCTCATGTTATCATTAAAACACTAAATATTCATTTGCCTACTTTACCAGCACGGTTTTGCAAACAACTGGTTGGCAAAACCATAGCTGGCCTTGATTGCAAAACCTAAGAAATAAAACCACAACGTGTTGTAATACACAGGTATCTCATGTTATCATTAAAACACTAAATAACCAATTTTTCTATGAAATACTAAAAGAAGATGTTTCCTACGCTGAAACTGATGAAGTACACCGTGCATGTTGAGGCAAACGTTACCAAACAAAGGTGAAATTCCTACAAATTTTTGTGACCCGTTCAAAAATAGCAGTCATTGTAAACGAAAGAAACTTCTGTAGAATACAGTGTTTGCTGCCCTCATGTGACAGAAGAATGCAAGGAAAGTGGTGTAGTGACAGAATCATAGGGGTGCACTGAACTTATTCAAGTTCCATTGAACACAACAAAGTTGGGAGCCCCATTGTGGACAGTCAAAGTCCCGGTGGCCTTTTAAACAAAAAACGATGTGCTGTTCGGTCCTTCAGATTTTGTTTGATTTTCAAATTTTAGTAGGTCAACCAATGAATTTTTTAATTATCTGCCAAAAACAATCTCTCCCCAAAAAGTGAACGTTCCCAAGTCTTCTCAGCACCCATTTTTCAAATGGCATCCCTCCACCTTCTTAGGCTCTTCTGACAATTTTTCAATAACATTTTTGTCTGCTTTGCCCCCAAATGGGAGCCTGTAAATCTATAGAGATGATCTTAGGCCATACTAACCCAATCCCTCAATTTCCTGGCCCACACAGACTCCTCTTTTTGATAGAATCTGTAGGGGTGCTTTTGAAGCGCCTCGACCTGGTAGAAATTTTCCTTGAATTGGGACAGTGCACCCTTTACATACACCCCCCCCTTTTCACTGTCTGACACAGACAGTGCTCAGTGGTTGAGAATGTATCAAGAACCTCAATTGTCCACTGGCTGTAATTTGGGGGGAAAGTGCTCAAGGTCGGCCAATAGCAAATGTGCACAATCTACTACAGATATACACTTACATGTACTACTAGTGCAAACAGAATGTGCAATCAGCATCTGAACATCACACCTTTCCACATCACAAGTAACGTCAATTAGCTTATCCTACTGATAAGGAAGGGTTACCCCTTTGGCCAGACGCTACCAACAGCAGAGGCCAGGTGCATGAAAGTCGTAAAACTTTGGCCATGCTTTGACATGAAAGCTCACCGTAGATATTATTGTAGTTGACAGGCTCCAGCCCAAGTGTTGAAAACGTGAGCCCAGTCACTGCATTCTTCAGTCACTGCTGATTTCTTGAAAACAATACACAAACAGCATGAACAGTGACAAGTTAAATTGTTCTTCATAATTTTCACGTGATTGCATCTAAAATCTGTTTACATTTTACTGTGGTAATTGCTAATGAAACCGAAACGGTATCAGTGTTATTGGTTGTCAGACGACGGCCCTTGAAACTGAGTTATGGCTTCTCTCAGGTCAACCGGCCATACTTTTTACCCATTAGAGGGTATTGTTTACCCGCAATATTTCATTTTAATTTGCCAAGGGTTTCGCTTGCAAAAAAAATTTCAAAATATACAAGGAAATTAAAATCCTTCGAAGGAAAGACGTTCCTTTTGGTTTCGTTCAAGAATGCTTATATCGTAAAAAGCAGTGACTTAAATACTGTGTCCTATGTCCTTGACACGCTCAGTATTGACAAAATATGATCTGCAAATTAAGAGAGAATTAAGGAGGCAATTATAAACCAATGCATGTTATTGTTGGGTGTTGGAAAAATTCTGAGTGCACTTTCAGTTTGTGACCAGCGCATAAATTTATGTTTCCACCCTCGTCTGTGGTGACAACCACTGCATTTGTGTTGAAATGGTAGATTTCTGTTGCGTTAAACTATAGAGCTTGGAACGCAGTTCAGCATGAAGTACTGAAATTTTGCACCATGAAGGTTTTGTTGCAGAGTCCATCCATTGGTATGTTCCTCGGAAGAATTCAGAAGGTGAGAATTCAAGGCTCTTTGCCGCAGACTGATCTCTGATGGAGGAAAAACGTGACCTTTTCCTCATCGATGGAACATGTGTCACGCAAGATAGCTCTTGAAGCTTGGAACACTTTGGTTTGGAATAAGTGTTCTTTAAATCTTTAAAAAATACGATATCAAGTCGCACAGACTTTTGAATTGTTTTCAAAACAAAACCGCTAGTGTGTGGTCATTGAAGCACTCGTTTTAATTTCACTTTGCTGGACTCAAAATTTACCCTTTCATGTGCTGGAGGATTGACATGCATGAGGGAACTCCCTCATGCATGTAAAATGAACGGATTGTGACTAATCCTTGGTGTTAAGGGATAGACTCGGTATAGGTGGTTGCTGTGATTGCCAACTGTGAATGGCTTAGGAGCTCTTCATGACTATGATCTGTCTAGGACACATGAACATGGAAACGGTGCAGAACAGGCAAAGGGTTAACACTGAAAGTGTGCAACGGTGCATTCACTAATGCTTTAGTGCATCTCTGATAGCGTGAAGCCCATTTTTTAAACAGGCTTCTGCTGGTATCGAGAGTATTTTCAGAGGACACGAACATGTTCAGTAGGCTAGTATTGACGACGTGTCACAACCCCACACCTCTATGGGAAATTCAGTGGGTCTTCATTTTGCTGGAGCGATATGACAGATTTTTGAATGCCATCGGAGCTGTGCACTTTGTGGCCAGGGCAAGACGCAAGAGGATTTGTGCACATTCAACTGAAAATTGGCTGTGCTCACAATAAGCAAACCTGTGCAAGCATGCAGTGTGTCACCCATGCGCAAAAGGTCCCCTCTGCATGTACAGTTCTATCTATTGCTCATAAAATGAGTCATTAGGATGTAAAAGTTGGAAGGCACCATTTTGTTTTGTCAAAGAACTGATTAAGAGACTGTGGTAACAGCGAGGACAGGTGGAATGTCCGGCATTGTGCTCGTCTCAAGCCGTGCCTGTTTGAGTCGACAAATTGACTGAACAGATAGGAGATTCATCACTCTGGGATAACAACAATAATTATGAACAGAATCAAAAAAGAAGGAAAAATTAATATCTCTCCCTAAGAAGTATACTCTTTGTAAAGAATCCTGGTAGTTAGGAAAAATTTCCATAAATGCCCTGGTCACTTTTTTTTTTTGCAAATAATGAACTCTCACCCAAACAGGGAAACGGTGACTCACTTGTGCACTTTTTCTGTGCACGGAGGCATGAAAGTAATGTCTGTCTTCGGCAGAAATTGCTTACAGTTGGAGTTGGGCATGGTTGGGAATTTTATTGTTCTCCTGTGGGTGGGGTCAACTTCAGTTTTAATCGTTGCACTCTGAAGTTTCCCAAGTGTGATTGATTGTGAATTTGCTGTTTAACTGAAATTTGGATCTCGTTCCTGCCAGTAAGTTTCCTGAAGCTTTCAACAGCTTGTCACTCTGGACGTATATTGGTGGAACATTCACTGAACGGAAATAAAATTAGGACATCAGTTGTCGAGGCCTGCTTCTGACATGCTCTTACTGGAGAGCCTGTAACCCTGCAACGATTTTCCGTGATGGTGCACGGAGAGCTTGTAAACATGTACGGACTGAACATGCACATGTTACAAGACAGTTGGTTTACTTCTCATAGAAACCGAAAAATGCTTTGACCTGGAGCATGCATATGGACAGGTAGTAATGCAAGATGCAGCTGGTACAGCCAATCCTATGGGTGAAGAATGGAATGTGTATTAGAGTACTGAACACTCCCTTGTAGGGAAAAAGGAAAACGAGAGATTCAGTTACCTGCAAAACGATAACTCTGAAATCTGTGGGGCTGGCACAGTGCCCGAGAAAGCTTTTCCCTAACCTGCATAATTTGCATGCAGGTGATGGCATGTCTCCAAATCGAAAATGCTCCATCACTGCGTAACCCTATCCCCTGCAAAACAGGCCAGCTACAGATTACTGGAGAACTCATCGGCAGCTGCAGCGGCACTTTGGCAAACGCTTATTGATTATTTGATATAGTTTCGCAAGAGCAGGTAACTAAAATCTTTATTGCGTCAACCTAATCCCTTTTGAAATGAAACAATCAGCGCTTCAAAGTTCTCTCTAGCTCAAGGTGTACCCCTCTGAAGCCGTCTTTCAAGCTGCTTGTACAATCCCGCATTCTTCGGGAGTTAACTCATTTTGCAAATTGTCTCCAGATTTGCTGACTATCTCGAGTTTCAAAAGCTTCTTGTCAATATTGAATTGATAATGGCATGTGCATTGCCCAGCACTAATTGGCACCCATTTAATTCCCATGGTGCCCCTTTGACTAGCCCCTGGGCAACGCAGTGTACACACAGCCTGGTCACAGCACCCTGTGCGTGGTCATGATCTTCCCTCAGGGTCAAAATCAAGTTCTTCATACCCCCTGTAGGGCAGGGCCAGTTCCCTAAGCCTACCCTCTCCAGTCACACAATGTAACCCCCTACAAAAATGCCTCCCACTCACCCCCCTTTAGAGAGGGCAAGTGTACCGAATGAGGTCCCGGAGACAGGGTTTAGAGTTGACCCACTTGCTTCCTGAGCCATTTTTAAAACATCAAAAGATGCCAAGTGTTTCTGCACAGAACCAGTTGGCATGCTGTCTCAAGTTCTGTAGAAAACCCATACAAGGTAAACCTAATGGGCGCAAATACCTATATAGTGATACAGGTATCAATTCAAGCCAATCTT